ATCCAATTCATCAAGAAGATCTGTAGTTTCATGAGCAACTTCTCTGACTTGCTTAACCCAAACTTTGAGTTCTTCATCACCCTCTTCTAATGCATCTGCAACCTTTAAGAAGGCTGCTATGAGCTCCAACTGTCCTTTCAGATACCCTGCCTCTGCTTCAATCCCAGCGAGCAAATTCACCTTATTCTCAAATACAGGCACAAGCCTTTGCAGAAGAAAATTCACAACACTCTCTGCCATTTTTCTAGATTAGTCACAAACCTTCTGCTAGTCCATAGCATAGTAGAGACAGACTTTGATATGCTAACTAGAGTTTAAACTTATTAGCCATATAAAAGGTTTTGCTTTATAGTTTCTTATAGACATAACCACTCTATGGTGATAGTTATATTATAATACTAACTAATATTCTTCATCAGGAATGCAATGACTGGTGCACTCTGATTGGCCACCTAGGAAATGAGGTGTTTTCACCATATTTTACAAGTAAAGACAGAAGATAGACATGCACGATTTTCCTCATCACCAAAAATTGAAACAGGTCAGCATCACAAGTAGGTAATAAAAATAAAACATTATATGCTGCAAAAGTTTAATAGATAAACTAAAAGTATGAAACACTAATTCAGACACAAACACTTAGATCACAAGTAGACAGGTATAAAATTAATGTTTAAGTGATTTTTTGTTCCTAATCAGTATTAGTATAGAAGTTTCAAAAATAAAAGTTGCAGGTACTCCTGGTCGGAGGTGATTACATCCTGCCGGCCAAATCAGACGGTTTCGTTTACAAGAATCGTCACTTCAATTTCGATGCCATTCAGATTGAAGCTTTCTACGATCCTTTGTGTCCATACAGCGCTGAATCATGGCCACCTCTCCAAACAGCTCTCGATCACTATGCCGCTCGTGTTTCCCTCGTCGTTCATCTTCTCCCTTTACCGTTTGTTCTCCAATCTCTCTTTTTCTTTCCATTACAATATTCATTCGAGTTTTGCATGCTAGTGTTTAATTAGACTGTATACATATTAAATTATGTGATGTATTTCAATTCAATTTTTTTGATAATTGCAGATACCATGACAATGCTTATGTTGCGTCTCGTGCTTTGCACATAGTGAATGGTTTGGACAGATCTGCTACGTTTCCAGTGCTGAAGTCGTTTTTCAAGCATCAGGTTGGTTATGTGACTGAATTTTCATGTTTTAATCATTGAAGTCTAAATCACATGCACATGATATGTAATCTTTGTTGTTCTAATTTGCATTATCCCTTTGTTCTATAAGAAAACTTATTCGAGTTTCTTGCTCACTAAATCTACTGCATACCCTTTAACAGGAGAAATTCTATGGTGCTCCAACACGTAACTTATCTAGAGCTACTGTTGTAGATGAAATAGTGAAGTTTGTAACATCTGTAATTGGGAACGCTTCTCATACTTCTATTAAGAATGGCTTCAATGACACAAACACAGATCTCCTAACCAGGGTTTCTTTTAAGGTAAGACAAAACCTTAATCTTTTAGGCTGTGTTCAGATCAATTTCGTATACTAGAATATAATTGAATTTGAAATTATTGTATCACATAATTAAAGCCTTTCTTTTGGAAAATACTTTTATTCTTCATGTTTCATTAATTTAAGTTTCTTTGAAATGCAGTATGCTGCTTCAAGAGGGGTGTCTGGAACACCTTCTTTCTATGTCAATGGATTCGCATTACCTCAGGCAGAAAATACTCTTAACTTCAGCGATTGGAGGAACATTATTGATCCATTGATAGGTGTGAAGAAAAGCATGTAAAATGAAGAATCCTGTCACTACATGTTTACAAGTTTATGAAGTTCAGTTGTATTAGCTTAGCACTTCATTAGTGAAAGAAATAGTAACCATCTTGGATTTATTTTATATTAATGCTACAATTATAACACTGTTATTATTATTATTTAAGTTTTAGTAATTTGTTGTAATCATGTTATGTTGGATTATATTTTGTATTAGTGCTGGAATTATGTTTAGTTTATTGGATTTATGTTGGAATTTATTATTTAGTAATTTAGATTTGAGTTGGAATTAAATTGTAGGTCAAAATGTGTTATTGGACTCAATGCAAAAACCAACCCAATAACCCGGTTAAACCGTGTGTATTAACCCGCAACCCGTGCTTACCCAGCCCGTCCAAACCGATTGCAGAAATGGGCGGAAATGGGCTTACGTATCTAAACTGTGGGTTGAGCTGGGTGTGGCTTTTGGGCCCGAAACCGCCCAACCCGGCCCGTTGTCCAGCCCTTTATAGCAACTCCTCTAAGACCCAATGATAAAAGCTAAATGGGGCATATATGTCATCCTCTACTCAACAACTACTCCTGTACCTGATTATCTGTACTCTCAAGGAACACAGACGCCGCAACAAGAAACAGGGGGTGAGAATACATCTAACAATTATTAACGGTGAGTAACTGCAAGATAGGATAGTAATCATGAATATAACAATATTCTCAATCACACTCAAAACACAATTAAACATATAATAATGCAGATGCAATGCAATGCTACCATCTCCATCTCATATGCATCTGGTACCGAAATAACTGGGATCAGAGGTACGTTATTGATATTCCCATGTCTCTGATTCTTCTCTGGACGAGATACTATCATAGTCCCTCTATGAACTAGGCCATCACTGGACCAAAGTCCTACCTATCTTCGAAATACATGAATGCATGATAAAAAATGACACAACACGCAACATCATCATCATCATCTCAAAAATCATAAAGAAACACAAGTATTAATCATTCGCAAAAGGTTTCACTCTTGAATCTATAATTTGCCATACTCGGACATCACTGTAATCCTTCTCTGGATTACTAAACTCAAAATGCCAATTAAGGTCGCCAATATAATCCCTCTAGATTACTAGACTCAAAACCCATTTTCAAAAATTAATTAATTAATTATCACAAAAGATAAAGTTATATTATTAGCAATTGTCCTCCACTCATAAACTACTCAAAACAACTCGAAAAGTCCCAAGACTCATAGTTTCTCAAAAACTTATTATTTTCTCAAAAACTCATATTTTCTCAAAATCCTCAAAAACCTTATAAAGTTCACGAGTAATAACTATACTAAGACAATGACAAACAACTTCCTCAATTTGCTTAAAAATGACCCTAAGGTCAACAAAGAGACTCTAAAGCCACAAAATACTCTGGAATGCCACTAAAAGGCTCTCAAACTCCAAAACTCCAGCGAATGCTCAAAAACTCGAAAACACCAAAAATAACTGAAAAGTATGAAAAACTCAGAATCGCATAAAAAGAAGAAAAATTTGAAATCGCCTAAAAAACGGGATCGACCGAAATCGGCCACTGTGGCCACCGCGGCTTCACCACCGAGGCGCGGCACAACCACTTGCAAATTGTAACATACCATTTGAATTATCTAATTATATAGAATAATTTAATTGTATTGTATGTGTTTTGAATGGTTGAGGTAGTAAAGGAGCCTTGGGTATGAGGTAGTGTCCCTAGAATACTAAAATTTTAAGTGAGGGATGTGGTAGTAATTAACGAGAAGTAGAGACTGTTGGACACAATGAGATTAATAGTATTACTATTTGATTTAATTAAATTAATTTAGTAGTAATAATAAATAAGTTAATATTTATTTAAAATAACAATAATAATATAGAGATAGTGTTGCTTTTTTATTATTTTGATTGGGTAGTTGGCCTAATGTGATGATTTAGAAAATATAATATATATATATATATATATATATATATATATATATATATATATATATATATATATATATATATATATATATATATATATATATATATATATATATATATATATATATATATATATATTATATATATATTAGTATTAGATTTTTTTAGTTTGATTTAATATTATAGAATTTAATAATAAGATTTAAAAATAAATTAAAAATAAGGGATTTAGTTAGTCTACTTATAAGAAGGTGAGGAGAGAACAGAAAGTGGGGAACTTATGTGAAAGAATTGGAAAAGGGAAAGTTAGGGCAAGAGGCAAGGGTAGGAAGAAGAAGAAGAAAATTACCATTTTATAAGAGATGGAAGCTTAAAATTTTAAGATAAAGAGGGAAAACTATTTCTACAAGGGTGTCTAATCATGAGAGGGTAGTGAGAGGTCCTTACCCTCTTAGGTTAGTCTTATGCCATGTTATGATTTTTGTTTATTTGTGATCATGATTGTGATGAATGAATTGTAATTGTTGTGGCTATAACAATTGATATTTGTTGATGATGAGTTTTGAATTGTTGCTGAATTTTATGTTTGTTGTATGTTAAAGGTTTGAGATGATGATTATGATGACGGTAGGGTATGAAATTATGAATTTATTGGTGTAATTATATGAATATAAGTGGTGATTTATATTGGTATGTTTATGTTTGAGTTTAAAACCATAAAATATTTTTGGTGATGATTTCATAGACGTTTTTGGGATTGAAGAAGATGAAAATCGTGCTGGAAATTTTAGAGAACAATAACTTTTTAGTAATGCCTTTGTGCACGATTTTCACCATAACTTTCAATTCTTTAATCATTTTAGGATGGGGTTTAAAGTGTTGGGTAACCTAAACTGAGGGCTATAACTTTGTTTCAGGGATAAAATATTTTTAACGATTTTATTAGAGGTCAGTAGGACGTATATGAGGTGACGAATATGGGCGAGGTCCGTAATGACAAATTATTTAATGTGTTCCTATTCACTCACTTATTTATTTCTCCATTCCATATAGAAAGGTTCATACGCATACAAGTTATATATTCAGCATATATCAAAACAACTATTTAATATTAAAAGGGCACAAGTACAGTGTACTTATTCATTTAAAAAGAAAACTAGTTGGATTTGTTTGTTTGGGTTTGTAAAGGGTAGCGTTGACCAACAAATATAGGCATCATACGAGGAACACATGAGATGGTAATTTGCGTTTTGAATGCAAAATGACAGCAGCAGAAGCACAAAGTAGAGGAGGACAAAGATGGTCTCTCACCGGAATGACAGCTCTTGTAACCGGCGGCACTCGCGGGATTGGGTTTTCATCTTTCTCTTTCTCTCTAGATCTTCTTTTATTATTATTTATTACATCCTCAACTCTGCATCATGCTTTGCATATTTGTTCATTTAGATCTATGTTTCTTTTTTGTTGCTTCCAATCCAAGGACTTTTCATCTATGTTGTTGTACTTGGGCATATAGGTTTGGTAACTTGCAAATTTGAAACTTTTTTAGGCATGCCATAGTGAATGATCTAGCCTCATTTGGTGCTACTGTCTACACTTGTTCAAGAACTGAATCAGAGCTCAATAACAGCTTACAACAATGGCAATCTCAGGGCTTTTCAGTCACAGGTTCTGTCTGTGATGTAAGCTCTCGACCACAGAGAGAGAACCTTGTTCAACAAGTTTCCACCACCTTCAACGGCAAGCTCAACATCTTTGTAAGCACTCAAACTTGAATTTCTCAATATCTCTGATGTTTGCTCTCGTGTCATGACTCATACATATGTGCATGTTTTTACGCTTTAGGTGAATAATGTCGGAACAAACTTTCGAAAGCCAACAGTCGAATACACTGCTGAAGAATATTCAGAGCTGATGACGGTTAATTTAGACTCCGCATTCCATCTAAGCCAACTTGCATATCCTCTTCTTAAAGAATCTGGAAACGGAAGCATTGTGTTCATTTCATCTGTTGCAGGTGTAGTGAGCTTAGGTACAGGATCTATTTATGCAGCAAGTAAAGGTGAGCGAGTTCTACACTCATGATCAATTCTTTCCGCTCATGAAACTGATTACAAAAAATTTAGTAAACATTATGTTTCGTCGTTTGAATTTTCAGCTGCGATTAATCAGTTTACGAAAAATCTGGCTTGTGAATGGGCGAAAGACAACATAAGGAGCAATTCCGTTGTACCGTGGGCAACCAGAACTCCACTTGTTGAACATGTAATTTTCTTGCTCCCTATAAAGATAGTGTTTCTGTATTGATTGTGTATAAACTATAAAGATGTGTTTGATCAAACTTATTTTGTTATATTTTGTAGCTGTTTAAAAACCAGAAGTTTGTGGATGATATTATGTCTAGAACTCCTCTTAAGCGGATTGCAGAACCCGAAGAAGTGTCGTCTTTGGTGACTTTCCTTTGTTTGCCTGCTGCATCTTACATCACTGGACAAGTTATATGTGTTGATGGAGGGTTAACTGTGTTTGGATTTCAACCTAGCATGAGAATTACATGAGATTGTGCAACTTGTTATATGTTTATGCTCATTTACATTTCTCTCTGTAATTCTGTTCACTGTTTCTATTCTTCATTGTTCTGTAATATGAAGTCTCTTTATTTAAGGAATTAATAGTGAAGTCATTATCAAGCATTAGTGTGGATTACATTTAAGTATTTAAAGACAACATTGAGCCTAAAAAACTTTAAGGCTTACTTGAACTTGACTATCATATGATTCTTAATATCATTTCTCTATCTTATTTTTAGCACGAATATCAACTTGCGCGATCTCTTATAGTTCGACTTTCGTCATAAATCGAACTACGACGGTTTAGCGTTACATTTCGCCTCAATTCAATTCACAAATCAACTAACGACTAACTTTTACTTTCCGTCAACATATTCTTATTTTACTTTTCCGTCAAATATACCATTGTTTTATTTTCAGTCAATATTATTTTGATTTTATTATCTTGTTCATATACTTGTTAATATTATCTTGACTATATTATTGTGAATATTATCTTGATTATATTTATATATATCTTGCCATATCATTCATATATTCATAATTGTTCATATTCATATTCATATTATTCATATCTTATTCACACATATTCGAAAACACTTAACAATTATCGAAACAATAAAATCCTAAATTGGTGGACTGTTGAATTATTGGACTTTGTTAGAAATCCTAACTTGAAGTTTTGTCCGACTTTTGCTCAACGCTTAGTTTAGGACACTTGCACACACACGGCTTCCTCTTGGGCTACCTAATAATGAATCCTTTTATTTCGTGCAATTCCGTGTAACCTACATGTATCTCTCTCCCATTCTGATGTACGCATTCGTATTTTGTTTTGATTGTGGTTTATCTTCTAGGAGCACCCATAGGGATTAACGTAGACTAAACCGTTTTCAAACTGATTTTTGATTCGTCATCCAGCCATTTTCAAACGCCATTTGTAAGTCGAGTGCTCGTCTGTATTCGCCATCAACCTGTCGCACACACTCTCACATTTCATCTTGGTTTCGTTATTAGGAGCACCCTTAGGGACTAGTATCGTTTCTTACAACCTAACCCTTGATTCGTCGTCAAGTCGGTTCCATTTTCAATCAAACCCTCGACTCGTCGTCGAGCCACTTTTAAACTCATTTCCATTCCACCACGTTTTTACACGCAAATCTAAGTAAACTCCTTGATCCAACGTCAAACAAATTTTCTCAAGCAAACTATCAAAAACAATTAACAAATATTTAACTCTTACTTGAACTTGACTATCATATGATGGATAGATAGAGGCTCAGAATAGATCATGTCAAACTAGAATTTAAAAGATTTGAGTATCTCTTAAGAAAAAAAATATTAAGTTTGAGTTTAGCCTATAATAAAATTTTCAAGTCTAATTTTGCCTTATATATTGACTGCCATAATAAAAAAAAATTCTTGAACTTTAAAGTTTATTTAAAAACATGTTTTATATTAGAACTTGTAAATATTTTAGTTGAGTCTTATTTTTCTCATCTTTTAATTTTTTCAAAAACTCTTAAAATTAAGAGAAATATTTTCGAAATTTTAGAATTTAGAGCTTGTTTTTGAAGCTTTAGAATTCTAGAATTTGATATGGTTGAATTAATGAATAAATATAATGAACCTAAACATTTTACTAAAACATAAGACATTCAAGATGTTAGATGTTGAACACTAACAATAAATTATGAATAATTAAAAATATTAATTAAATATAAACAAATTTTTAAGTCAGACAAATTTGTTAATTTTTTACTAAGCGTAAACATGCACGCCACAATCTCAACAAACATTATGGGATGAATTAGACTTGAACAAATAGCATCAACAAATAGGATTAGGGTAGTGTCTAACTCAACAATTTCTAAGAAACGATATTAACCAACTATTGAGAATGTGGATCTTATATCATCTTCGTTTTGTAGTTGCATATCGGTGAAGCCAACACATCCATCATTTTCAACTGAAGGACGTCAATAATCAACATTGGCCACCCTTTTTAAGTTGAAGTGGTAAAGGCACAAATTCATTTGGTCCACTCAGTGCTTCTAATCAGAGAGTGTAACATCCACATTGATCCTAAATAAATGGGGAGGAACCCCCTTTGTTATAGTAAATTATAGATAAGTTATAGTTTATTTTGAATGGGTATGGCGAAGAAGAGTTTATTATTTTTATGGTGTAAACTACACATGAATCGAACACATCATTTAATACAAATTCACGTCACAAATTATATAATTCAGTAAATTCCAAAGAGATCAAATTTATACGGGTCTGTTGTGAATAGGATGTCTTGAAACAAAATATAAACGGTTTCTTTATGATCAAGAAACACACAAGGGTTAGGGTTAACAAAGAAAACAAGGTAAAACAACAACGAACAACAAGGATTAGTTATAAACTGTTATTCTTTCCTTTCTCTTAGAAACAAGATTACAAGTATACAAGAATAACAAAATAATCTCTCTCTCTTGAAATTAAGATTTTATCTTCCTATTTTTCTTTATTGACAAGATGAGAAACTATCATGTTATTTATAAGAAAACTAGCACACTAACCTAATGTGTTTTTTAACAATTACCCATTACAAGCTAACTTAGAGTACAAGCTAACTTAAAAAATTGGACTTACAAGCAAGACCCAATTCAACATGCTAACAACCTAGCAATATTGACTAATGCATGTTAGAACAAACTTCGACTACAACACGCACTACTTGCGAACTGATTTCTACCATTCTAGAGTTCGATCCAATATCTCACAAATCTCCACCTTGGATCTAACTCTATAACACCAAGAAACTAGCTTTCTTCATGCAGCTTTATCAACTGCATAAATGGAAAAACTTGCAACTAGGCAACGTCTTGGTGATCATATCAGCAACATTATGATCTGTCGAAACCTTCAGCACTTGGACTTCTCTGTGCTCGATTACCCTTCTGACGAAATGCGGCCTCACATCAATGTTCTTAGTTCGCTCATGATAGGATGAATTCTTTGACAGGTGTATTGCACTTTGACTATCACATTTAACAGTGATAACTCGACCTTGAAGTTTCAACTCTTTTGCAAAACCTTCAAGCCACAATGCTTCCTTCACAACTTCAGTTAGGGAAATATATTCCGCTTCAGTGGTTGATAAGGCAACGACCTTCTGAAGTGTAGCTTTCCAACTGATTGTTGACCCAAACATAGTGAACACATATCCAGAAATAGATTTTCTAGAATCCATACAACCTGCATAATCTGAGTCGATATATCCTTCGATTGCTGCTTTACTATCTTCACTCAAGGCTTCACCATAAATTAGGACTTTATTTAGGCACCCATTTATGTACCTTAGAATCCACTTCAATGCTTTACAGTGAGCCTTTCCAGGATTCACCATGTACCTGCTTACAAGACTTACTGCATATGCTATGTCGGGTCTAGTACATACCATAACATACATCAAAGAACCCACTATATTAACATATGGAGTGTTATTCATATAAGTTCTTTCGACATCAGTGTTGGGACACTGATCTATACTCAGCTTGAATTTGACAAGTCAAACTTTTCGAGAATCTTCTGTAGGTATGCCTCTTGAGATAAGCATGATTTCGACTATTTTCTATCTCTTTGGATGTCAATTCCAAGAATCCTGGGTGCAGCTCCCATATCCTTCATGTCGAACTCCTTATTGATTTCAACCTTCACCCTCATTACATCTTTGACATTGTTGCTTGCTATTAGAATATCATCCACATAAAGCAACAAAATAACAAATGAATTACCCGGTCGAAATCTGAAGTAAACACAGTGGTCGAACTGACTTCTAATGAAACTTATGCGTGCCATGAACTTGTCGAATCTCTTATTCCACTGTCGAGGAGTTTTTTCAGTCCATATAAAGATCTCTTCAATTTGCACACATAATATTCCTTCCCCCTTTCAACATACCCTTCAGGTTGCCTCATAAGGATTGTTTCATCTAGATCACCATACAAGAACGCAGTCTTCAAATCCATCTATTCCAGTTCAAGGTCGAACTGGACCACCGTGGCAAGCAACATTCGAATGGATATGTGCTTCACAACAGGAGAGAACACATCATTAAAGTCGACACCTTCTTTCTGAGTGAACCCCCTAGCGACCAATCTTGCCTTGTATCTCTTCAACGCCACTCCTTCGATTACTTCCGTAACTTTGAAAATCCATTTACAGCTGACTAACCTGGCTACAACAGGTTTCTTCATCAATTCCCAAGTGTTGTTATCATGAAGAGATATTATCTCATCATCTATAGCCTTCAGCCATTCAGTCTTCTTTCGACTCCTCATAACTTCCTTATAGTCTCTAGGTTCTTCATCTAGAACCTCACTTGCAGATATTAAGGTATAAGCTATAAGATCTGCATACCCAAGTCTCTAAGGTGGCTTGATGACTCTCCTCGACCTGTCTCTTGCTAGCAGGTAGTCATTATCAATCTCTTCATCTTTGACAACATCTTCTGCATCTTCTTCGACTTCATCTGGGATACACAATTCAACATCAACATGCTCTACCTCAACAGGAATTTTTCCCTGTTCCAGCTCTTCGTCAATATCATCAGTTTTCTTAAAAGTCATCTCTACTTCATTGAAAACTACATCTCGACTGGTGATACACCTCCTGTGACCTGGCTCTAGGCACCATAGCCTATAAGCTTTGACTCCTTCAGGGTATCCCATGAACATGCATTTCAGAGCTCTAAGTTCAACCTTGTCTTGCCTAATATGAGCATAGGCCACATAGCCAAATACTCTCAGTCTGTCGAGACTAGGTGGATGTCCCGACCAAAATTCTTCAGGTGTCTTCATTCCCAAGGCAGTCGAGGAACATCTATTTATTAGATAAGCTGTTGTCGAAACATCCTTCGCCCAAAACACCTTCTTCAATCCAACACTAACCAACATGTATCTAACCCTTTCAAGGATTTTTCGATTGAATCTCTCAGC